AGTAGCAGAGTATGAAAGTCTCAACTTAATGATTAAGAGAATGACATGAAGGTTATGTTAACCAGTTTGATGAGAGTATTTCAAAATGTATATGAAAACAGCACACTGTATCCCATGATTGCATTAATGTACATAGTTATGCTATAAGAAATAAAAAAAAAAACAGGGAAAAAATAGTAGACTGGAAGACTAAAATCACTTAAAGGATCAATGCATTCAAGCAAAATGTAGTTTGAAACTGCCCACTACATCAGGAGAACACATGACATTAGCAATTTTAGTGACAGGTGGGTATTTTTAGAACTCTTCAGCTAAAATCATACTGGAGTAGGGGATAGGGAAAACTAGAGAAGAAAGGTTAGTGACAGTATGTATCAAAATAATTTTGAGACTTTCACCTTTGGAAGTGAAGGAGAGAAATAGGACAGGACCTGAAGAAGAATGCAGATTAAATTCTTCTCTTTATAGTGTTCACTTTTTTGAGCTATATTTGTGTCCACATAGATTTCATGATTTTGATGTATCAAAAATCATATTAATATGTTTAGTGTTTTATTTATATTTCAAATCATTACATATTAAGTTGTTTATAGTGATAATTTATCACTACTGATGCAAGACAAGGTGACACCATGACCTGGCACCTTAGCCCTGGAACTGTTGATTTTGCTGTGAATGGAGGAACCAGTTTGATATCCCGAGGACACCTGCGGGGGAAACAGTAGCCCCATGCTGTCTCCTCCACCTGCACTTCTGGCTGATCAATTTCATGGATGGCACCTTGCTGTCTCTTCCAAGGTCTACTCCTGACTGGTGAATTTCATGTCCGTTTTCAAGGTCTGAGAGCTCATTGGACAGGTGATGAGGACCCTCCCCTAGGAGTCTAAGAGTCAACATTGAGTTCTGACAAAACGACTCCCCTGCCATTATATAAACCCCTGAGCAGAGAGCCCAAAGACAGACCTCAAAGAGGGAGCAGGAGAGCTTGTTCCCCTCCTGGATTCTGTCTGCCAGGAAGTTTGGTTTTTTGTAGCTGTTGTAAATTTTGTTCCTTGAACAAATCCTGACTTACTACTGATCCTGTGGTCTTTCCAAGACCAAGAACCTGAAAATCCCATATCACTACTTTGATTAATACTATGTTGAATGTCAGTAAACTGCTCTGTGGATCAATACCGCCCACCACAGTGGGAAAACAGATGGAAATGGTGACCCCAGAAACAACTCTGTGTGGTAGAAGTAATAAGCAGAAACCACTTATTTCCTTCTGCTTTAAGATATCTGAGTGCAATGACGGATTTCTAAATAAATTGACTGGAAAAAGAAAAACATGAGGTCTTAAAAAGTATATAAAACAATGGGATAGGCTCTTGACATTTCCAATTTCACATCCCCATTGAGGAAGTGAAAACCTCAGGATGAAATAGAAGGTAATCCAGAAGCAACGAGGCAATCCCAACAAAACAAAACAAAAATCCCTCCCCCCCAAAATGCTACAAAGAATGTATAAAAAAATGAAGACAGGAATCCTGTGATTGAAAGTAATTGTATCTAACATCAATCATGAGTTGAGCCTCACTGCCCTACTCTTTCCCTGTGAGACAGAGAATGATGAACCAAAGCCTTAGTACAGGTGTGCTGACCCAAATAGGAGGGACAATTAGTATTCCTTAAATATAAACTTCTAATGGGAGAACAATCACCATTATCCCCTTTAGCCAGCTCAGAAACGGAGCTTGTTCAACAGTTTAATGGATTGAACCCAAGATACAAATCAGCATTTGAAAAAATAAAATTTCTTCTGGTATTTAAGACATATATTTGTAAAAAGAGGATAATTTACCCATACCTGCCCATGAGCACACAAACTGAGCATAAATTATGGCTCCTATTATTTGCAGGCTATGGAAATATTAGACACTTTTATACCTGATCAAAAAAAAAAAAAAAAAAAGAGGGGCACAGCTTTCAAGCTACGTGTTTTACAATAGCACTCTGGAGTCTTGGGCTATTGATTGCTTATGGGAGAAAAACAATACCCTTCTAATAAAGATGCACTTAAAGTTTAAAGTTTTGGGGTTTTTTTTTTTTTTTTTTTTTTGCCAGGGCCTGTTTGAACCCGTCACCTCCAGTATATGGGGCCAAGTGCCCTACTCCTTTGAGCCATAGGCACCACCCTAAAGCTTAATGTCTTGATGAATTGATTCATGTCTGTTCATTACAGACTGAGTGAGAGTTAAACTGGATGGTGTGTGGTTGGGCACACACTGAACTGGAGGGTAAAATGAAAATGTGCTGTCTAACCTGAGGGGTGAGGTGGGAAAGGATAAAAATGTTGCATCTTGGAATTAGGATTGGCACATTCGTGTACCTAAAAACATAAGATAACCAGTGATTTTGACAACTACCAATAGAGTAATTAGCAAGAAAGGCTGAGATAGTGCAAAACTGCTGTGGCAATCCTATGAAGCCCAGATATGTGGCCACACTTGAAAGTCTTTCTTTGTAAGGGAAAAATCTGAGAAGACTAATGATAGTATCCTGATTCATCACTGTAAGCCCTGAGATAATGATAAAATATTAAGGAAAATATACACCTTTCTCCTAAGGAAGTTAGTTGCCCAACAGGCCTAATAAATCCTATGTCAACAGGAAAAATCCAGAGAATGACATGCAAAATATAAAGGTGGACACAGAGCCCCCAGGAAAAACTTTGATCCTAGCAAGAACAGTGTTTACATAGGTTTGACTTTTAATGCAAGGTTTTTTTTTTATTTGAAAGTTTTGAACCCATTTACTTTGAGAAATCTGAAGTTTCTAAAGACAAATTAAACTTAAATTGAGAAAATGGATAGAATAATTTAAATTGTCTTGTCCTCTAATCATTATATTTAGAAAATACATAAAGCAAAACTTAACCAAAAAAAGGACACAGAAACATTCAAAAAGATAAAAACTACTGTGTTCTGTATTTAAGAGACATGCATGGAAAGGTCTCCAGAGAAAGTAGGGCCAATACTCACACAGACAAAGCACTCGATCCAGGGCATCAGCATCCCCCAAATCCAATGCCCACCCGCTGTGTTGGCCTTAGTAATGATTAGCTGCAGAATTTCATGTCTGAGCTCTGACCTGCCTCAAGACCTGAACTGGTTATCTGGAAGCCTTGATGTTTTCATTTCTTCTCTTCCTCAAACTTCTAGGAAGAAAATCAGGTTAATTGTTGAACTCAAGGCTTTATTTTTTTGTCTTTGCCTTTGGATCCCAGCTCTGAGCTGCCTGTTGTGCAAAATTTATAAACTGATGCTTCATATAATTTTTGCCAATGTTAATGGTAATAGGATATATTCAAGCTTTCTTAATATGTCATGACTGAAAACTGTACTCTGTTAGTTCCCTTGTACAGCCGCTCTTAAAGCAATTCCAGACTTCATCGAGATTTTATTTTCAGCATCATATGAGTTGCCAGTTTACATTTTTATCTGCTTATATTTCCTGGTTTTCATTCTATGACTATCTCTTTGAAAATTACTTCTACCATTTCAACATTTGATATATCATCTCTGCTAAGTCCTATTAAAATTGTAGGGTAATAATTTTAGGAAGTATGTGTTTTAATTATCTAGTTACCTAATTTTCCCCTCTGTCACATTGTTTTACCCATTGTTATAAAACACATCTTATTTCCTAGTGGGGATAGACATGCCCAGAATTATTCTTCTCAATTGCTTCCTTTTTTCTTAATTAAACTAACATTTGATCTATACAGAAAACTATTATTTCATAAAAACATAAACCTTTAGGGTTTAACCATAATCAATTTGCAATGAATGTGATAGCCTCTGACAGTTCCTTCACAAGACAGAAAAGTGAAACTGGATCAGAACATTTCTCCTCTCTAATATGTAAAGCAAAGAGCAAAATTGGAAGAAAATCAATCAAAAACATAATAATGCAATAACATCCATCAAAGACAGAGAGCAAGAGTGTATAATTTTTGAATTAATTTCTATCAGCATTTAAAGAATTGAATCTTAAGTAATTATTCATAAAATGTAATGTAAGATTGCATTTCATCTAGATCCTGCCGGGTCCTTTCTATCATCTTGAGTAAGTCACTTAACTCCTCTAGGCCTCAAATTTCTTTAACATGAAATAGGGTAGAAATATTTCTAATGTTGTGACTATCAAACAAACTAAAACATTTAAAAGCACTTAGCAGATGGTTGGTACCTGTGGCTCAAGAAGTAGGGCGCAGGCCCCATATGGTGGAGGTGGTGGGTTCTAAACCCAGCTCCAGCCAAAAATTGCAAAAAAAAAAAAAAGCACTTAGTAGAGTATCTTCCACTAAGACTTAACAAATTATAGCTATTTTCTTATTTATTTATAGAACGATATCTGAGAATGACAAACCTCCTATCCCTTCCTCTGTGATTGACTGGGAAACACTGACAGTCTAAAAAACAGAATTAGGAAGTGTCCTGAAGGAGTATCCAAATTACATACACTTGACATCAGAGTTAAGCCTGATTTTTATATTCAATCAGAAATTGATGGTTTGTAAATATCTGATACAGAAACTCACCTCCTACACTGAAGCTGTGTGTGCGTGTATATATGAATGAATAATGTATCGTGTATAATGGTCTGTTATTTTTATCTCTGTATATATTTGCAGTATCCTTGCTGAGTCTGATGCTCCCACACACCCCTTCCTCCATGCTTACTGGGCCCCATTCCTTCACTCCCATATCACAATAGTTTCCCCCCTCCCAGGGTAGAAATCCCCAGTGTGCTCCACATTCACCCTTTGCTAACCTGCACCTTCCATTTATGCCTCTGCTTCCTCTTCCACTCTGGTTTCCGGCTGTCATTTCTCCTTTGAGAGTACGAAGCCATCAGTTGAAAGTAAAAGTTGAGTGAAAGTTTTAGGTTTTCAGAAACTCCTATATGAAAGGTCTCCCCCCCCCAACCCCCCACCCCGGAGTGTACTTTTGGAAATGGTCCGATGTACCTGTTATGGTGATGTTAACAGTAGCAGTAGCAAAAAGGAAACAGAAGGCAGAAGCCAACTTACTCTGGAGGCTATGAAAATATTTACAGAGAATGAGAGCCATGCTGGCCAAGAGGAACAAACCAAGCTTCTGGGGGAGTGGGCTTCTCTTTTACAGGCAGTATTTTGTCCTCCTTCCACACTCCAGGGGGTAAAATGGGTTCTTTCTCAGAAGCAACTGACCTTAATATTCTTTGCAATCTTTTGCCCATTTTTAATCAGACTGTTTTCTTGCTGTTGAGATATTTGAATTCATTATATATTCTAGATATTAATCCCCTTTCAGATGAACAGTTTCCCAATATTTTCTCTCATTCTTGTCTTTTATCTCCATTGACTATTTCCGTTACAGTGCAGAATATTTTTTAGTTTGATTTAATCCCATTTATTTATTTTTGCTTTTGTTGCCTGTACTTTTGAGGTCTTAGTCACAAAATCTTTTCCAAGACCAGTGTCCTAAACAGTTTTCTCTGTTTTCTTCTAGTTGTTTTTATTGTTATGGGTGTTAACTTGACATTTTTCATCCATTTATGGGGTGACATTTCATGGGTGAATAATAGGTATCTAGTTTCATTCTCTTGAGTATGGATATTCAGTTTTCCCACCGCCATCTATTAAAGACACTGCCATTTTCTTGATGAGTATACTTAACATCTTTGTCAAAAATAATTAGGATGTAGATACGTGGATTCTCTATTCTGGGCCATTGGTTATGTGTCCTTGTTGATGTCAGTACTGTGCTGCTTGAGTTATTACAGCTTTGTTGTATAGTTTGAGGTCTGGGGGGTGATCCCTCCAGCTCTGTTCTTTACTCTCAGGGTCATTTTGGCTACTCAAGGCCTTTCATGGTTCCACAGAGATACTAGTGGGGTTTTTTCCATTTCTGTGAAAAATGCAATTGGCATTTTGGTAGGAATTACAAGGAATCTGTAGATTACTGTCATTTTAATAATATTAATTATTGCAATTCTTGAGCATGGGATGTATTTCTATTTGTATCCTCTGAAATTTCTATCACCAGGATTTTGTAGTTTTTCTTGCAGAATTCTTTCATCTCTTTAGTTAAAATTATTCCTAAGTGTTTCACTTTATTTTTTATAGCTACCATAAAAAGGATTGGCTTCTTGATTTCTTTTTTAGCAAGTGTATTGTGTATAGAAAGGCTGTTTTTGTATGTTAATTTTGTTTTCTGCAACTTTACTAAATCTGCTTCTCAGTTATAAATGTTTTCTGGCAGAATCTTCAGATTTTTTTCTATATAAGATTATGTTAGCTACGAACAGGGACAGTTTGTATCTTCCTCCTTACTAACTTGACTTCTTATGCTCAGATCAGAGGCCAGAGACAGCCCCGCTGTCTGCCCCTGGAAGATTTGTTCCAGGGCCACTGTGTACCAGTAGCTGTGCACCAGTGTCCCAGCCCCAAGATAATATTTTTAAATACCTTAGAA